CATCCCATTCGAGAATTTTTCACTCATATAGAGATGTCACCATATACAGGTTAAGGGTTTCAAATTTTGACCTTTACTCGGCACTGAGGGCCATTGAGCAGTGAGGGATCTTTATCGTCCCAACGCCTGCCGTGCCACGGGGCCTCGGGTTTTAAGGTCTCATCCAAAGGACCCGCAAATTGCACTTCAAAGTGCCGAGCGCATGGCGAAGGAACAGTTGCTACTCATTTTTTATCGACTTGGGTCATTCGAGATTAACGACATGCCGAGATTCGAACTCACGACTTCACGATCACGGAGCGAGCGCTCTACCGACTGAGCTACCGTGAACGGTTTATATCTTTAAATCTCACCTAAATATTTTGATTCGCCTTTTCCAAAAAAAAAAAAATCACTTTTCGGAGCAAACTTTTGAACAGACTGGCGAATATATATAAACACAGTTACATTTAGTAAGATAGCTACATGTAGATAGAAGGACCAAGAAAAAAACAAAAACAAAACAAAACAAAGCAAACCAAAAACAACAAACAAACAAAAAAATGCATCAATTTACCACCTTAGAATTTTCTTTCAGGAGGTAAATATTTCAATGGCAACTAAATTCATACACAAAATGCAGTTAAGAAATCGCAACGTATATTCAGGTCGTGAAAAAAAAATATATCTCAATATATTTTTTTCTCTTTAGCTCTCCTACGAAGTGATCATTTTTCATCCCAGACTGCAGCCATAGGCGCTGGATTAGGTGCTGGTTTATTTATAATAGTTGCAGTTATCATTGCAGGCATTTTTATCCTTAGGTGCGTCTGAAAAATGAATATAAATTTATTTTGCTTTTATTCTAATTTTTCTTCTTTTTTGGGGGGAATATATTTTTGTTTTTACTTGTTGCTTTACAGAAACAGAAGAAGAAAGCAATCAGAATCCCGATCATCTGCAGTTCATTTTCAGAAAGAAGATGGTGTTCCTTCCGGTAAATGTCCTATAACTACATGTATAATGAAAGGCATAAGGGAAGTTTTTAAATAACATTATTAGAATTTTACATCTTTGATATTGTCATCCTATCGTAATTACGCCAAACATCTAATTGCAATCACTAGAATAAGTGATATTTAAAAAAAGAAAACATTTTTATATGCTCATTTCTTCAGTGAATGAATTCGTTAAAAAAAATCTTTAAATTTACAACCTCTGATTTATCTTATTAGAATTCCTGTTTGTTTCTTTGCGTTAGCTGAGAATAAGTTATACACAAACATAGGAAATGTTTCTGTTCCGATCGAGGACCCAGAAGAAGAGCCCCAGATAGAAAATCCCGAGGATGCTGTGTATTATAATGATCTGTCTGTGGCTAAGGATATCGCTGTATCGGACTTACTGAATATAATTTCACAGAAGGAAGCCAAGGAAAACGAGGGATTCTTGAAAGAATTCAAGGTAATCGCATTTCTCGTTATGAAAAAGTTTATTTAACTATCCTTCCTATGCATTTCAAATTTATCATACCTATATTTTGATGTCTTGTCCATTCTTTTTTTTTACGAATTTTACATTTTAGTGAAAAAATATTGCCTTTTCCATTTTTTTTCGGTTTTCTTTTCCTTTTCTTTTTTTCTTTTTTGACTCTTTAAATTAAGTGTTCAGCAAGGATTTGTTCATGCCTTATAGTTATTATTGTGTAAGCCTATTCTATTTTTTCACAATTTTTTTTTAAAGAAGTTTTTTTCTTAGGATGTTCATTTGGTAATTTTTTTTCAACCAACAGTAAGAGATTGTTTGGTACTATGTTTTTTCCATGTGTCAATGGGATCGAGGTTGGAGTGAAGGGCAGACGTTAATGAAATATGCATTGCTAGGGATCACTTTGGAAATTCTCCTATTTTAATTTGTGTTTAAAATGTGTAGCCATTTTGTTATTTAAGTTATCTTTACTCCCTTTCCCATTCAAATAAAAAAAATACTTTGCATTCTTTGTCAGTAATAAATTCGAATCTTAGGACGTATAAAACAATTCTTTCTTCTATTTCTCTGTGTGTTTTTTGATGCTCAAAAATTATTTGTCAAACTGCAGTCTCTTCCTTACGGAGAAAGATTTGACTGCGAAATGGCCAAAACAGAGGAAAATATGCCTAAAAATAGATTCAAAACCACGTTTCCATGTAAGTTGTGTTTTATTATTATCATTATTGTTATTATCGCTAAACATTCATATGATTATTTCTTTTAATTTAATGAAATTGAAAGCCATAGAGTCTTAATTTTTACTTTATATTATGTAGCCAATGTATAAACGTATTCTTCCAATATATAATTGTCAAGTATTCAATTTCCTAATAACAGCATAGCTTATTTCAGAGTTCATGCCTCTTGCACATTGCATTCCTGAAAAGTGATTTAAATTTTATTAAATGTCAATATCAACATTTTTTAATTGTACGTTTTTGATTTTACTCTGATATTTCTTCATTTAGATGATCATTCCCGTATAATTCTAGAAGTCAATAAGGTCTTTCCCTCCGATTATATTAATGCAAACTACATTGAGGTAAGGATCATATCTAATTTCTTTTAAGTAAGTCCTTTATTATAAATATTGACCGCATGGTAACAAACGTATTTTCATGTTTTAGAACACGGAAGGAAAACGAGAATTTATTGCATGTCAAGGTATTTAAGTATTAGTCCTTTGAAATGAATATGCAATTCATTTTGAAATTTTTGATTATATCAAATGACTTTTAAAATCTATAAAATAAGATCCAACTTAAACTTAAGATATGTCATCTTTTAGGCCCACGAGAGAACACGTTAGTTGACCACTGGAGAATGATATGGCAGGAACATGTAGAACACATTGTCATGCTGACCAACCTCATTGAGGGACCAAAGGTTTGATTTAATATATTGTATTAAGAATTGAAATTCTTAAATGCCAGTGCTCTTTTTTTTTTTCTTTTTTTTTTTTTTTTTTTTTTTTTTACAGTAGAGCATTCTTGTGGCAATGTTAATGTACATATGTATTTTAAAAAGTCATTCAATTTGAACTAAACTGAGTATTTTCTGTTTGTCTAGCTGTCTAACGTCCGTTTGTCTGACTGTAAACTGCACCTTTTCCTGAACAACGAAGTTGATTCCATTAAAACTAGAAAAAAGCAATTGCTGGGCATTAGGAATTTTTATTTGTTAATATTAGAAAAAAATATGCATCTATTATTAAAGATAACTGATCACTAAAAAGTGAAAAAAGTACTTTTCTTTTAAATATTTTCCCCCAAGAAATTCGACCAAACGAAAGAACAATTGAATTAATGCTTTGTTTTTTACTTTATGTTACACATTGTTCTAATTCAAAGTTTTCTTATTAGTTTTATGAAATCCAGAACATAGACATTGTAGCAAGGTATAATGTTTGGGCGTGATACTGTACATGTAAATGCTAATATTTTATATGAAAATATGCATGTATTAGGGGAAACTCATGACATTCGCTACTTAGGAACAGAAGAACCACTTTGGTCATGATTATATTTAACTATTTCCATGAAAATGCGAGTTTGGCCACGACAAAGCCCTGTAGTAATTTATGGAGCAAGATAGTTTAGATAATAACTTACATGGGAAATTATTTTTTGAAAAAAAAAATCCCTTTAAAAGACAGTAGGGCAATCACTAATCTAAGAGTTGTGATTTTCCTTGCGAGTTTGTATTACATTTTCAATGAATATTACAATATTATTATCATAATGCAAAATAACATGTATGATGCAATTGTCAATTAAAAAAAGTTTTGATATCTAACGTAAAACTTCACAACTAATTTTTAAAAAATTACATTCATTTTGTTTCTCTAGAATTCAATGTAATGAATGAATTATTACAAATCATAGGTGAAATGTCATCAATACTGGCCAGATGAAGGAAAGGAATTGGACATCAATCCATTTTCTGTAGCCTTGGTAGAAGAGAAAGCCTATGCTTATTTTGTCGAAAGAAAAATGATAGTGCGAAAAAAGAGGGTATCTAGAAATGCACAGTTTTACAAATTTCAAAGTAATATTTTTACAATAAATTTACAAGTGAAAAAATTATTAAAACAAAAGAAAGGCATTTTTTGTAATATTAATCAGGAATTATTTCAATGTATTTTCAAAATAAGGTAACTGGGTCAAGGACGGTCGTACAGTATCATTACACCCGATGGCCAGATCATGGGACTCCAAATCCACTAAACCTGGTTGTCTTCCACAGACATTTTCGGCACAAAATCAGATCAACTCAACATCCAATTATGGTTCATTGCAGGTATTTGCATGAATGAAATCAACTATGAATACCATAACTATATCATCCCTTCCTTAATGTAAACAAGAATTTTAAAAATTCACCTTAAAATTAAAGAACATTTATAGAGGATTTTTATCCAAACCTTTTTTTATTCTTCTGAAAAGTATAAATCTTACTTGTTTGGTTAAGATCAGTATTTTTGTAAAGGACTCAACAACATTTGTATAAAATCATGAAAAAATATCTTGCATTGTTTTAGAATAAAAAAAGTGATGAGGAAGTCGCGATGCTCTCAGGACAAAAAAAGAATATCAACATAAAACAATGAATAGGAAATTTATTCCCTTGTTATATCTGTTTCATAATTATTTATTAACCAAAAACTTCTATTATGTGACACTCCCTTTTGAAGCAAATTATCTGATCGTTGCAAGAATCAAGTCATAGTTTGAGAATTCTACAAAATTTTCTCTGATTTCAGTGCTGGAATTGGAAGAACGGGTACTTTCATTGCCCTTGACGTTCTATCTCGATATGGCAAGGACAAGGGCAAGGTCAATGTTATAGAGTATGTCAAGGCCATGCGTAAAGACAGGATGACAATGATTCAAAATGTGGTACGTGAGATATGTGAACTGTATCCTAAAATTTTTTTTCTTTCTATACTACTATATCTTAGGGAGAGAAGAGGGGTGTCTCATTCTTGGAAGTGAGAATCAGGAGACATTAGGAGGAATGTTATTTTGATTGATATAATTCAGTTTAGAATTTAAAATGCATAGAATAGACAAATAAAATATAATCTTTTCAGGACCAGTACGTGTTTCTGTACCATGCTTTGTACGAGTCCTTTAGAAGAAAAGCGCAGTATAGGAAGAAAGACGAATTTCTCCGTCTGTATGGAGATGTGGACAAAATAGATACACATAAACAACTAACCAACGAATTCAATGTGAGAATGTACAGGGTTTTTTTTTAATTTTTTTTTTTTTTAGAGAATTCAGACTTGAATTGAAATGTTATGATCTTTGAAACTTGTATTTCAGGTTAAAATCTGCAATAAGAAACCATATGATGTAAACACCAGGGGCCTGTTTTACAAAAGTACTTGAGACTAAGATTAACAAGTTTAGGTGATTTTAAGATATACATATTAATGTCATATTAAATAAGCTATAGTTTGCAGAATGAGATTTTTGATCTTAATCCTAAGTTCTTTTGTAAAACAGGGCCCTGCCATTTAAATGTTTCTTTCGAAAAATTAAAACCTTGTAAAAACAGGTTATTATATATATATATATATATATATATATATATATATATATATATATATATATATATATATATATAGAAAAAATAATTAAGATTTCGTAGAAGATGCCATTATTTTTTCTGTATTACTTCCTATACCAAGGACTTCTTTAATTTTAATATATATATATATATATATATATATATATATATATATATATATATGTGTGTGTGTGTGTGTGTGTGTGTGTGTGTGTGTGTGTGTGAGGGTGTGCGTTTGTAAACACCTTCAACTCAGCTCAGGTACTTATTGACACATCAATCAACTCACTACAGTTTTCCAAGTCACTACAGTAATCACTGTAGTGAGTTGCCGTTTTACGAAAAATGGGTAGTTCTCGATTATTTATGCCCAAAAAATCGAGAAAAAAAGTTGGTGTCATTTGACGGTTTACACCCGTATTTTCACACACCGACTAATGATCAAAAAATGGCCCTTACACACTTTACTCGGTTTTGATTCTAGCGCATGCGCAATGCAGACTAATACTATGGCCGACTTCCGGTATGTAATGATCTCGATTTTTCTACAAAGCAACAAATGATCTCATCAGGTAAGTTAATTTTCTGTTGATTTTACCGTGAATTAAAGCGTTAATTACAAAACATCACATCGTTTCCATATACAAAGATATTAATCAATCACTCGATAAACATAGAGTATTTAGATTTCGTTGTTTATATGCCCTTGAAAAATTTATGTTCAAATCCCTTAGTTATAATCCACAAAATAAAACTTTAAGGTTAAAGAATTATTTAAATATATTTCCATATAACTTTAAATCCACTACATGGCCCAATCCATTTGTTAAGCATAATTTGCAGTCGTCATCGAGTCTAAGTTCGAATTTTCTCGAATTATTCATAATGTTGACATGTTTCTATTTCATGCACTCGTATCAATTAATTATGTTCAACTTATATAAAAAATTATACTTCATGTAATATATCAAACGTATCTGGTTCTTTGTTCTAGTTATGAACTGAACTGGAATTATCTCTATCCTTTATAGTCACACATATTGCCATCAACACATCTTCAGTTCAGAAGTTAAATAAATTATTTTATGAAGTTAGAAATTATTTATCTTATTTATCTTTGTCCAAGACATGCACTTCATTTGTAATTTATTCTTTATTAAAAAAAAAACTGCTTCAAATATGTATGATTACAAAAGTATTTAACAGTACGTTCTCACTATATAAGAATCACACTTTTCGATTTTAAATGTTTCTCGACTGATTTTACAGAATTTCAAATGAACAAATTCATTTAAATATTTTCTAATACAATGTCCCTGATGTATGTCACAATGGAACACCTGCACATGTATTGTATAAAAAGAATTTAGAAAGATTAGATATCTTTATAATGGAGGTATGTGTATGATAAACTGTTTTGATCGGAAGGGGAAATGCATTTTTAAAATACTACGGCTAACGTAGACAAGATCAGAGTTCTCTTTCATCCAAAAATAAAGTATGCTCAGTTCTTCTTGTATGTGTCCTTAAAGCTGGTAAACTAATCAAAATATGAAAATCTGCAAGTTTTTGTACATGTATTCAGATTGGAAACTTTAATCATTAGTTGCTTACCTGTCCGTGTAAGAGAAATAATTACAGTCTCTAGACTTGATGAGGTGTGATTTCGGTAATTGTAAAATGTGGTTTCCAAGACTTTACCTTATTTATTCATTAGAGTTAGTGATTCATGTTCAGTATTGTTTCCTCAGAAGGAGATGATCCAGGAATTCTTCCGGGGGGGGGGGGCATGGACCCCCCCCCAAAAAAAATCCAACTGAGAAATTTACCCAAAACTTAAAAAATAAATAGATAAATTTTAAAAAACGCAAACTTGTCCATCCCCCCCCCCCCCCCCCGAGAAAAACTACAATTTGAAAACTCAAAAAAAAAAAAAAAAAATAAATAAATAAATAAATAAAAAATAAAAAAATAAAAATAAAAAAATATGAGTGGACTGGACTGGATCGGTGCATGAATTGCTAAACATTGTCCATCGTATATATAAAGAACTGCATAAATTTTACACTTAGTCTAATCAGGGACTATATATAGAAATATCTATTTGAACATTGTTAATGCCTCCCCCCTCCCCCCTCTCCATTTACCATGTTTATTTCTAGTTAAAAAAAATTGTCTGATTAACCTATTCTACTCAAATTTACTCAAGTAATAAACATTTTTTTTTATGTGTAAAATTTCATTCCGAGTCATCACCGGAACGAATTACTACTTAATCGTAACTGTTGTGGCGTGATGCTTGATTGTGAACCTAATAACATAGAAATACTTATTGGATTATACCTTCGATGTCATTCTGTGATTTATTTTAGTATGTAAATACCCCTCATGGTAAGTATAGAGTAAGAAACGTTATATAAAGGTGTAAATGACAAGTTCAAAATATTTACATGATAAACAAATCAGAGGTCATTCGAGTCACGTATAAAATTATTAAGTCATGCATGTGATATCAGTCAAGTGCAGATGTTTCACAAAGGTTTGGTTGTGCATATATTTTAAACCTTTCACTGTGGTGTTTGTGAGCGTGATACGTGATACAGCTGTGATACCAACACGTAAAAGAAGATAGGCTAAGTGAGACTCTTGTAAATTCACATACACACACAAAAGATGTAAAGGTTGCTCCACACCTCTTCAAATTAAGGCTTTGCCACACTACAGCATGTACAAAGCTTAAAAAACTTGCATCGACGTACATAAAGATTAACATACTCGCTGGCATATGCTGAAGGCTTGTGCCATGCACCATAATCATGATAATTGCACTGAAGTAAAAAAAATTTAAAATGGTCATTAAATCAACCATATTAGCACCAAAGTGTGCATTCAATTTTCCCTTGGCTCTGTTCATTGGAAAGATTTCGACATTATATCTTTTAAAGGAAAGGTTTGTTTTGTTTGTATGTTGTTTAACGTCCCTCTCGAGAATTTTTCACTCATATGGAGACGCCACCACTTGCCGGTGGAGAGCTGCAAATTTTGTCCTATACTCGGCATTTATGGCCATTGAGCAGTGAGGGATCTTTTTTGTGCCAGCACCTACTGCGACATGGGATCTCGGTTTATACGGTCTCATCCGAAGGACCGGTCTCCACGTCCCACAGTGGGATTCGAACCCGCGACGTAAGAATCAACTCCTTACTCCGCAACTCTAGAGCAGACGCTCTAACCACTGCGCCACACAGGCGACTTTAAAGGAAAGGAATTGTATAGTTTGATATGTGCACACCCTAGATTTTGGAAATGTTAATGCTCTACTTTTATTGTTTTAATTACTTTCATTTTCAGATGTTAATTTTTTGCGAATGTGTGCATTTGGCCGGAAAACAATCTGACATTCCACCTTGAGATGTTATTTGAGAGTTGTTCCATCCTTAAATGTAAAGCAAGGATTTAAAACAGTGTGAGAAAAGGTTAACATTGTCGCCTATGGGAAATGTATTGGTGGACTGTATACCCCATATATATTGAGTACGTCTATTGGTAAGCATGCTAAGAGAAATTCTACTTGTTAAAAAAATTGTACTTTCAGGCTGAGTTGAAGTTTGTAATTTAATAATATTATCATTTCCAATTGTTGAAATCTATGAAATACACAACTTTTATTTTGCTTAATGTGCATATTTTAAAACAAATCGAGTCACAATATAGTGTCCTTCCAAAATTTTGAGGTGAAATAGACATAGTGTATATAGACACAGTTAAGGCACGGAACCCATATATGAAATTTAGAAAAGATGTACGGGCTCCACAGACCCAAGATATGGACAAAGAATCTGAGGTTGAAAGCAAGGTGTTCTTGTGCACAGAAACCAATGTGTAGGCAAGGAATACTTGTCCCAAGAAGACAGTTTCTAACTTACAAAATTTGAATGAGGCAGATTTATTTCAAACTATATACATGTATTTTTAATCTCACGTCTTTTTATATAGCATGATCATAACTTCCTTTGTGCAAATCAGATTAGAAGGATTCATGATCCTGAGCTAATATAGCTTGTGTCTTTCTTAATTTATAAAAGATACATAACTAATATATATGTATATCACTTGGAATTGTACTTAGGTCAACTTGAATGATTTTGTCACTTTTGAACTAAAAGTCTAAGTAAGTAAGTCTAATATAGAAGCCATTTGAAATCTTTATCCTTGGATGTTTCAATGCAAGCTGACAGACATTGAAATAGTCTTTGTTGATCAATGATGATTTAACCTAAGTTAACAATCTCATTTCATTTTGTGTCATCACATGATAAAGAAAGTCATGATTTTATTAAATTCAAATTGAACAAACTTAGGCTGAAAAAAACAACAACATGTATTTCCCATAACCCAGCTGACCTAATTTTACCCACCGACTCTACTACTTTTCATTCCAAATCGAGATTTTGAATCGTACTTTTGTTCATAGTAAAGTTTTCTCGTAGTGCAGTCCATAAAATGCATGTCTCGTACACTGTAAAAACCTGTTTATCCAAGAGTCTTAAAGAGTACTCCTACTTTATATATATATATATATATAATAAATATACAGAATAATTATTTGATGCTTTCAAAATAAAAAGTGTTGCTTGTGTGACGCAGTGGTTAGAATGT